GTAATAGGATAATTGTTAATGTTAAATAAACTATGAGACTGTAAAGATTATGCTAACAAAGACTATGCTAAAAGATGGGAAATACTTGTGCTTTCCTGCTCTGCTAAAAGCCAGGCTTTAAAATTGTATATGTAGCCTAATGATCACAATTCCATCTCATCATTTTTCAAGGTTCTAGTCAATGCTCAAAGTGAGAAACAATAAGGGCATAGTAAAAGGAACTGCAAGGAACTACACCAAAATATTCTCACAGTCGATTGTTTTTCTTCTCTCCCCTAATCTATATTCTCATATTTTCTTTAATGGGCATGTGCCACATCAGTTACACCCTCTGGGACATAAAGGAATTGTCCACATCCTTCCTATGAATCAAAAGGAAATACTGCTTTATGTAGGGTGTGTACTGCCATTGTTCCTAGGTCTCTAAAGTCGTTTGATAATCTAGCACAAAAACTGCACAATGGAAGCATGTTAGGCAAACTCTATGCTGCCTTCTTTTCTCCAGCTTCTTTTCCCTCAATTTCCCAAACTTAAAGAATTCCAGTGGTCCTCCCGGCACCCATTTTCCTCCTTTGTGCCTGGACTCATTCCTGACTCACTTCTGCACTGTGCTCCAGGCACTACACTTCCAGTCTCAGAGCCCTGACTCCCTGCTGCCCCCAGCTTCCAGCACTCCAAACACCCAGCAAAGGGTTCTGGAGGCAGCCAGATGTTATATTCCATCCAGTACTTCTCAGGTTGGAAACAGAGAATGAAAGCAACTTTGGGAGCCTTTCTTCATAGAGCCATGGAGGAAAGGTGAGAGATCTTTTAAGGAACCCAATACAAGGCCTTTTTGTGTAGTAATTGTTTGTAATAAAGATTCAGACTTGCTGCTATTATAGCAAATTGAGGGGCTTCAACTTCCTGTTCTAGGACGTATATTTACTGAATGAACAAACGAATGAGTTAGACTTATCATCTTGCAGTGACATCTGATCAATGACTCAACGTGGTAGCTTGGGGGCTGGGGGGCTGGGGGACTTGGTCATGTGGTACCAAAATTAGCCCTGAGACTAAGGCATGCAATGAACCCTATACCATGGTCAGTTGAAGTATTATCTACAGAGGGTCAGTGTTACCATCTCTTGGAAGCTTGTAAGAAATGCAGACGCTCAAGCCCCACCCCAGAGTCTGCATTTTATCAAGATTCCCAATGCTGTACATGAATGTTTAAGTTTGAGCTACACTGACTCAGACACATTCACCAAGGCAAACCTAGTGCCGCACCCTCTGCACTTCCATCAAACCATCAGGAGATTGGATGATTCTTTGTCACAAGAGCTGCCCTCAATTTTGGCTTCCCTCAAAAGTGTTTCAGGGAATGAAGCTCACAAAGAACAGACCCTATGTGATTTGCCCCAGGTATCACCTTCACTCTGCCCAGGCTGAGCCCAGCCCTATCAACCCATGGCAGGTGGAATTAAATGCTAAAGCTCTTGAGCATATCTCTGGTTGTAGAGTGCAAAAGCAACCAAAAATACTCTTTAAATATGGTTTGGCCAAGTAAAAGCAATACCAATCACTGTCATCTGTAAAAACCACTTACCCTGTGTGCCTAATGACCATGCAAGATAATTGTGATTAAGGAAATTAGTTAATATGCAGCTGATTACATGGTTTATTCAATTGCATGACTGGTAATCCCAAACTCATAGTCAAAGCTAAACTTTGGACTTCTGCCTTCAAATCTCCAGCATAGACATGTAAATCAGTTCCCTGCTTGGAACTTGGAAAAGGTGAAGGAGCTTTTTACTCTTAAATCTAGGATGTAGTTTTGGTAAAAGGGAGAGAAAAGGTCTTGAGCACTGCGGGGACTTGGAAGGGGCTTGTTGTGAGTGACAGATTCCAATCATCTTTCCAGATCCAACAGAAGTGTCCCATCCTTTGGAAAGTTTTTCCCAGAAATGATCACTCCCCTTTATGTTTCTCATGGGATTTCTTTAGACTTTTATTACAGCTCATAGGGAGGTAGGAGAACTTGTCTGTTAGAAAGCCAGGCTTTGCAGCTTTACTACATGGGTCTCATTCCCCATCTGCCTCTTACTAGTTATGTGACCTGGTCAAGTGACTTCCCACCACAGGTGTAACATGCAGTAATCTGTATCATAGGTGTGTTGTGGGCTTTTTGTGAAGATTATATGAAACAATACATATAAAAATTATAGTGCCTGGCACATACTAAATAAGCAAGGTTAGCTATTAATATGAGCACTTCACAGGGTCTGGCTTTCAATGAGAGTTGGTTGTATAGATGTCTATCTTCCCCACTGGACCATAAGTAAACTGTTTATAGCCCACACATCTGGCATAGGGACTTAGAAATGGTAGACACATAATAATATTTGTTGAATTGGTTTGAAGGTATTCCAGGAAGAGGAAAGGGAGGGTGCTGGAAACAAATGTAATGGACTTCATGATTTTACCCAAGGTCAATCTCTTCAGTGTTTGTTTTTCTTTTATTACCAGAGTACATTATCTCAGACTATGAGGTTGCCGTAAAATGAGGCTGAAGTGACACTATTTCTGGAACCAGACATTCTGTTCAGAGATAGCAAGGTTGTGCTATGAGGTACCTGCAGTCTCCAGTTTGGCCCCAGACTGAGCAAGGAGAGTGGTGACTGAAGTTCAGCTACAGCTAGACTGGCCAAACTGGGTCCCCTGGCATGGGGTCACATCTGCTCTGAAGAACACCTGCCTAGAGAAGATGCATTTTGTTTTTCAATGTAGTCATTTAGAGGGATGTCTTTATAGGTTGCACAAAAGCTGTATGTACCTGCAGAAGCTCTGCTATAAATTCAAAGGTCTCCTCTTAAACCAGTGTCCTGACTCCAGGATGAATAGCAACTAAAATAATAACACTTAGTTTACCAAACATTTATTGACTGTCTGCTAACTAAACATTGCACTAGATACTGCAGATCCAAAAGTGAATAAAGAAATTATAGTCAGGAGAAGCAGGAGGCAATGCAGAGGGCAGAAATGTAGATAATAAAGTTCCATTAGTCATAAATAGTGACATGTAGTGGAAGCGTCCAAGACAGGGTTGGAGAAAGCTTAAAGGGGAGACTAATAACCAAGCTGAGGCTTGCAGCAGTGATGACGACAGCTAACATTTATTGAGCACATACTCTATGCATCAGGACCTGTTCTGAGAACCTTGCATGGATCCCTCATTTAGTCCCTCCAACAACCCTATGATATAGATAACATTGTTCTTTTCATTTTGCAGATGAAGAATCTGAGGCACGCAGTTGGTAGGGCTGGAATTCAAACACAAATTCAAAAAAAAGGGGAAGCAGAGGCCCACATAGGCCTTCAGGACAGAGGCAAGTGCCTTGCAACAATGCGGGAGGGAGGAAAGGAGCAAGGTTGCTTGGGGAACTGAAAGTAGCTTGGGGAGGAGACAGAATTTCAGAAATGACTGGACTCATTCTGCAGGTTAGAAGGGAGACCAGAGGCAGGGGATTTCTAGTCTGGCCTGGGCTTTTGAAACTAGCAGTGTGATTCCTGTCACCTAATCCCTCCTGGCCTCAGTTTTTCCCTTTTGTAAAAGGCAATGATAATACATGGGCTCTACCGTAAAGAGCCCTGGGCACCAAATGAGAAATAGTATGTGAACTTGACAGCAGCACAGTTCCTTCTTAGCCTTGAGATTTTTAATCAGTATCATTTTTCCAGTAGCTTCAAGGCTTTGCAAACTAGCGACCAACTATGTCAGAGCAGTAGTAAGAGCCTCCCGAGTGGGGCAACAGTGTGGGTAATTGTAAGGCCCTCAGGCCCTATGCCTGCATCCAAATTCACCACTTACTAACTGTGCGATCCTGAGGCAAACCACTTTCTCACTCTCTCAATTCCACTCTGGAAAATGGGGATGATAATGATAGCACTCACCTCATAAGATGATGAGAGAATAAATAACACATGTAATATGCTTAGCACAGCTCTTGGCATAAAGACTTAGTAAACGTTAATGGTTCCCATCATTGTCCTTATTAAGAAATCTGCTGGCTACCCATTCCATTCCTCCACATTCCATTGGGTAAAGACGTATGGGGACATTAGAAATTAGAGATGTGGAAGAAGGTTTGCAACCCTACACAAGCACACTGCTGCAGAGAGCCTTCCTGGCTCCCACAGGCCAGCAAGCAGCTGCCTCACCGTCCTGGCAGAAAATGCCCAAAAGAGGTAAAAGACAGACACTGCACACCATCTGTGCAAACCCGGCCGCTCTTGCAGTTTTTAGACAAAATCTAAATATAGTCAGTCAGATATGCCTTGCTTTTTTAAAGATAAAAGTGTCCTTCGTCCCGCCACCCCTCTCCTCCCTTCCCCCATACACATGCACAGTTCCCCACACATCCCAAGACACTTTCAGTCTTTTGCAAGATATACTCTGGGGTGCTGTTGTGACAGCCTCTTGCCACATTAACTTCTCTGTCCAACTCCAGGCAGAGAAGCCTTGGCTAATTTCACAACAGGAAAGCAGGCAGGAAACTCGAGAACAAAACAAATCTACACACGGAGTCCAGCATCTTCAAGCAAATAGGCTGAGGTACCCACCAGAAGCAAGGTGACTCTGGACTGTAAATGAGGCAGCTGCCTCTTCAACTTCAAGGGGACGGGAGAAGTCGTTTGCCTCTAAAAAAACAGATCTGAATACAGATTGCTAATGAATATTCATGAGCCCCTCCAGCTTGCTCAAGAGCCACCCTTGACTACATCCCGAGGCTTTGCTTCCTAAAAAGCTCCCAAAGTTCTTTCTCTGCCTCCTCTCAGAAGAAGGTGGGAAAGTTCATTTAGGGCTTTTTGCCTCTTGCGCTTTCAAGTACTTGCTTTTGGTCTGGGTTTTCGGATTTCTTTTTTTTTCTCTCTCTCTCTCTCTCTCTTTTTTTTTTTTTTTTGCTTTGTTTTGTTTGTTTTGTTTTTAAGGATTCAGATCAAATCAGTTTTGCTCTTACCCTTTCTATCTTCCATAATTGGCAGCTTTTGTTTTCTTCCTCTTTGCTCTTTTTTCAGCCTCTGCTTGCTGTGGTCGGTTCAGTAAGAGAGGTACTCAAGGAACCGAGATATAACAGACCCTCGGGCTCGTGGGAGGGGCTAAATTAGCCGGCCCCGTTTCGGAAGGAACCTCAAACCCTAAGGTCTTTTTCATTGACTGGAAAGGACAGATTGGCCGAGAGTCCAGCTGCTCATTTCCCTAAAGCTACAGGAAGGTTTCTCCCCGGGTTGTAACTTTGTATTCTTGAAGCAATGCATATTAAAATATCTCTAGTGCGCTCTCCCTCTGTAACAGAAATCCATTTTCTCCCTTGAAAAATGTATCTTGGCTGCAAGAAAAAACAAAACAAAAACAAAACTACTTATTTCAGTTTTGAAGCCAGATGGCAAGAAACTTGTTACCTTGATACCCACTAGAAATACTGTGGGACGCCAGAACAGTTCTTCCAGCCCCATAAAGCCGATCACTTCTGGTCCCCTGAGGAACAATCCCTTTTCGAGGCTCATAAAACCAGAAGAGCAACGGTTACCCAGGCGGTGGAGCTGTGGCAGGAGAAACCGTGTTATTGGTTGGAAGGCACGTGGGACTGCAGAGGAGCAGCTCCGGGGAACAGCTGGCTTGCTGGTGCTGGAGCAAATCCTCCACCTTTCCCAAACTTTAACCTCCTACCTCTGAAGTCTTAGAAGCATGAATTGCCACACCCAGTCCTTGCTGAGTGGACCCAAATGCAAGTGAGAGGCTGATCAAAACTTTTTAAAACTGTGTATACGAAGTTGTTTTGAAATCAGGACAAGAGCTAATCCTCTTGAAGAAGGTAAATCTTTAAGTCCCAAGCTCGCTGGGCAGCTTCCCCCTCCACAAAGCTGTCACAAACCTTAGCATTTTAAAAGGTTTGAAAAAGGCCTCAGAAATGTAGTCTAATCAGGTTAGAGATGTGGAAAAGTCAAACCACCGGCTAATGTTCACACACAGAGAGAGAGAGAGAAAGAGCAGGGAGTGGTCTCTCTTACTTGCTGTCATGCCCCCAGCACATGATATAGTTGCTCCCACAGTGCAGTAAATATTTGAATGTTCGAATGAATGAAGAGCAGCAAAGCAGGAAAGTGGATCTAGTTTCCTGACTCCTAGTTCATAGTTTTCCTACATTGCATCTCCAGCAGGAGAATTTGTGTCTAAGGCCAATTATACCATAAGACATTTTTCTTCATATAAATCATTATTTAACTTGTGACCATCACAGATGGTTTTTTTACTCTATATAGAAAATATGTTGTCCATTATACTTTCAATCATACTTTAATAAGGACAAGGACAATTTTTTAGTTTAGGTGTCTGTTACTTTTGAACAGTGAGTGCCTGGCATATAGCATGTGCTCAATAAATGTTTTATGCTTTAATAAATCTGGGTCTGTACAAAGTTCCTTCCTTATCTTACTAAATGTATTTTCCATTTATAATGAAAACTAATTATCCTGAATGAAAAATCCAATGAATGCCTTCTTCAGAGCCATTTTGGACTCCATCTCTAACAAAAATACTAGATTGATATTTGTCCTATTGTGGTAAAATTGTTTTTAAGTAATATGGGATATTTGTAAACATTAGCTATTTTAATAATGAATTTATGACTGTCTTGGCATCATTGTTTTGGAGAAAAATTTGAAAAAGAGCAAATCCTACAAAACATCCTGTGAACCACAGAATGGAAAACAGACCATCAAAGCTAGAAAGAGGAGAGAATGATCAAGGCGAAGATCCAGAGTAAGTGAGGTGTGAGCTGGGCAAAACAGACAAGCACCTAAATATGTCAAGGAGAGCGCCCCACTGTGAGCACTATGGCAAAGATTCTCTATTGCAAAAAAGACTAAAATTCAAAGCAACTCCTATCATGTCTACTTGGACGTCACATTGTTGACCAAAGGTTACTTCAACAACTGACTCATTCTGTTTTGATTTCATCACAGAGAGAAGCTATATAGAGTAAAGTAACCAACTTTTGGTTCAACAAGAAGAGGTCAGATCTCATTATAATAAGTAACACTTCACAAACATTTGAAGTTCATCAATATGTAGTAATGGAAATAGTTTTAGCCCTTAACTCATTATTATGTGAACCCTTTGATATTTACTGCTTTTTGTGATAACATGCTCTGTGGTACAATTCAAAAATATTTCCTGTGTTCACACCCTCCTTGGCATCATGAAAACACTATACTTTGCTAAATATTATCTCTCATTCATCCAAGAATAATTACAAAAGAGACCTGAGAATTTATCCTTAAAAATAAATCCTGTTTCTGAACAAAAAAAACTCATTTTTTAAATTACTGTTATTTGAAATAGGAAGTACAAAATAGAAACTGCACTCAGAGAGATGAAAAGAATTTTTGAGAAGGGTGAAGATACTCATCTTCCTTTTAATGATAAAATGGTCTTTGATAAATTCTCAGAATGATTGAAGTTTCATTTTTTCTATACTTTCAGTCTCTCTCACCATACTGCCCAGATAATGTTTCTGAAGTGTATACCTGATAATATCATTACCAGGCTTAAAAAGTTCTACTCTCCTTATCATCCATAAAATAAAATTCAAATTCCTATCATGGAATACATAAGGTATCACACTACTGCTCCACACTCATTTCTTGACATAGGTCTGTGCACTCCAAAAACAAATTATAGTTCTAAACCGTAGTTCTTTCATGACTGCATTTACACAAGTTTGTGCACTCCAAAAACAAATTATAGTTCTAAACCGTAGTTCTTTCATGACTGCATTTACATAAGTTTCCCCTCTACTCAGAAAGCTCTTTCCCCTCTTGTTCACCTGGTCCACCTTCATGTCCTTCATGACGAGTCCTCTGTGAAGCTTTGCCTGATTCTTTTTTGCTCCCCGCCCCCACAAACATAACACTGTACCCTAGACAACCCAATAGCTGATGAGGGAAAATTTCTCCTTTAAGTATTTCAGATAATAAATGAATAAAATTGATACCATTAAAATATCACCATTGCACAAACACTTAAAAAAGTAATGAAACTAAGCCCTCACTAATCATCGATGACTGCGTACATCACAAAAAGAGGTATAGCATTCATATGGACCTTCTGGTGGAAGCACACACCACACCCTCTGACATCAACTTGCCAAAAAATTGAAGCCTCTAGATCTAACTACCAGTTTGCAGGAAATACAGCACCCAGAAAACCATGTTAGAAGACACTACAGGAATACATTCAGTAAAATTTAGTCAGGTGGAAACCCTAAAAAATTCGGTTTTTTAACAAATAAATTGCAGGCAAGGAAAAAGAAGATGAGGTACCTATAGACTTAAAGAGATTTAAAATATATACCACCCAAATGAAGTGTCTGGACCTGATTCAATTCAAACCAATTTAAAAGAAATTTCAAGACAAATATATTTAAACACTGATTTGATAATATTTTATAATATTAATGAACTATTCATTTTTTCAGGTGTGTAATAGTATTGTGGCTATAATTTTTCAGAAGTCATTATCTTTTGGAGATATACACTGAAATATGTACTGAAGAAATCTGAAATTAGCTTCAGAAAAAGTAGTAGGTGAGGCATCATAAAGGAAGATGGGGGATAATTGTTGAAAATGGATGATGGGTTCATGGGTATTCGATTTAAAATTCATGAAAGGAGATACTCTGGGTTTATGTATTTTAAAATAAATGCCCAGGATAACTATTGTACAAAATAATATGTTTTGCCAATTCCAAAAATGCCTATATTTACCCATTCAGTTTTATTATACTTGAATATCCTAAAATGTTCTTCATAATATTCGACAGTGTTCAAAATGTTATGTCCTTATGATATTTTTTAAACAGTCCTTGCTCATGGTTGGCTGCAAGGCTAAAAGGAGACTGTAAACAAAGAGTTTTTATAGTTGATAAGAATGCCATAGGCATGATAAATCATAATACTTAAAGCATCATGAGGTAAAGTGTTATGTTATATGGCAATTGACAAATCTAATCTCACGAATTCATATTTTTTCCCACCAGCAATAGACCTAACCCCCATCTTCTTACTCTCCTTGTAAACCAAGGTACTAAATTAGTATTATTACGTGTTGGTGTGTAAATATTCAACAAAGGAAATTTGCCAGGACATTTTGAAAAGCATATCAAATTTTCTTGACACCATTTGACCATCTATCAGCATTATACATACCTATCTTACGCAGATTAAATTTTTGCTTCTGAGCTATCAGTGACAAATTCTGCCCCTGCCCCATCTGTTGGCTTATAGGTATCCAGATAAGACCCCCTGTGAAGGGCAGGAAATAGGGGGAAGGGTTGGATCTGAAAGTGCTGAGGGTATTTAGAACTCACATTGATTCAGAAAATGCCCCTTCCCCTTTTTTAGCAGAAAAGTATAAGAGACACTGTCAATCAGAGCAGAGCCATGGTGGCTGCACATTATAATCACATGGGGCACTTAAAAAGTGTTAATATACCCATCTCCAACCTCAGAGATTGGGATTTAATTTGCTCTGGAGTAGGACTCAGGCAAGGTTTTTTAAGGGCCCAGTTTTTTACAATGCGCTGCTAGGGCTTTTGAGTTAAGTAGCTCTTTCTTTGAATCCTTACTATATGATCCTAGATAAGCTAGTGGGCCTCTCTGAACCTCAGTTTCTTTATCTGTAAAATAAATATTATTTTTTAAAAATCTACTTCACAGAGTCATTGTAGGAGAAAAGGAGAATAAAACTGTAAGAACTCCCAACAGAGACCCTAGCATATAGCTGTCACTCAGTGAGTGAGTTACTTTCCTATTTGCTTATATGCTAGATCTACATTCAGATTAAACAAAATACTGCCTTCTCTTCTGTGTCTCTTACTTTCCCCGCCTCCAGTATCTTCCATTTACTTTTCAGAAGTAACCCCAGGAGGTACTGAGGAGAATGAGAGCAGAAGTCCCTTCTTACAGCACAAATTCTCTCTCCATCCTCCTTCCCAAAATTTAAAGTGATCCTGTATATTCAACAGCAACTGTGGA